TATATTCCCATTTTAAATACACTACTGATCCCGTTTTAGATATGTATGTTTCTAAAATGAAAAATTTTGAAATTATCGCGTTCTCCCTCTAGTTTACTTTTAATATTTAGTAACTAGATGTTGCATTATGTTAAGCAATATCTTTCTTGAGGACTTGTTTGTCTAATAACTCATAATAAAGAAATAAAGCTATTTGTATTCATTCTGTGGGTATTGACCTAGTTAGTAAGAGGTGTTTGCTATTTAATTAAATATAAAATGTTTAAACGACAAAGAAAAACTAATGTTTTTTGGGAACATTCAAAACAAAAGGAAGAAGGCATCGCGATTTGTAAATATTGTAATCAAAATATTAGTAATAAGTCGACAACGGGAAATTTAAGATCGCACATGAAAAAAAAATATGCACATATTTTAGTAGTAGTGGATGAAAGTAGTGGTGTTATGTCAATATATCCAGATTATGTGGCTGAAACAAATATCGAAGAAATTTAGAAATTAAAACAAGGAGATGGGACGAAAACGGTAAGCGGAACTGTCGCAATATCTTCTACAAGTACCAGTACCAATACTTTTGAACTTTTTGATACTGTGCCCAGACCAAAAAGGCAATGAACCATTCAATCCTTTATCCCTAAAAAAATATCTCAGAAAGAAAAGAAGAAGATTGACCGAGACTTACTTTATTTATTTATCAAGGATATGCAACCCTTCAGCTTGGTTGAAGACGATGGATTTCGAAATCTATTGCGATGGATTCCAGGGTACGAACCTTCATCAAGAAAAACTATTTCGGTATCTTTGATACCAGCACTGCATCATAAAACGCGCAATGAATGTAGGCAAACCATACAAAATGAGGTTGAAAGTGTTTGTATAACAACTTGGACCTCCAGTGCTAATGAGAACTTCATTGCGGTAACGGGCCACTATATATCGAAAGATTTTATATTTAAATCTATTTTATTTGAGTGCAAAGGATTTCCAGGAAGTCACACGGGTAAGAATCTTGCAGAAGAACTACGAAGCGTTGCAAAGGAATGGAATATAACGAATAAAATTAATTTTGCCGTATCAGATAATGCTAGTAATATATGTAATGCCATATAAGTGGAGCTTGGATGGAAGCATTACGGTTGTTTTGCACATTCATTAAACTTAATAGTGCATGATGCCCTAGTATGGTAATTCAGCCTTCTATAGCCAACGTTAAATTCATTATCGCACATTTTAAAAGATGCTCTCAGACTCTTGAGAGACTTTTAGAATATCAAATAAAGCATACGGATATTCAAGATCCTAAACGTTTGATTCAGGATGTACTCAAAAGGTGGAATTCCATCTATAACATGCTTAAACGATTTGTACAATTACATGAAGCAGTTAAATCAACAATGGCTGTCATCAATAGAAACTGGCCAATTATAACAGAAGAGGAATGGACTATATTTGAACTATTAGTAACTGTCTTAGCACTATTTGAAGAGGTGACTAGCTCCCTTAGCGGTGAGAAATATATGACTGGAGGAATAGTCATAGTTTTAAAAACTGGCCTGGTGGATGTTTGTTATTCAAAAAGAAGAATATTTAAATCTTGCAGTAGTGCAAGATATTATTATTAAATTGAAAGTGGGTTTGGAGAAAAGGTTTCAAAACATTGAAAAAAGTAAAACTTTTGGACTCTGTACGCTTTTAGACCCCAGGTTTAAATGAAGTAGATGAAACCATGATAAGAAATACTGCCAAGAGTTAGTGGTAGCGAAAATAAATAAAACATAAAACAGCTAGTATCTGGAATAGACTAGATGTTCTAATTAAAGATTTCAGATCGCCTGGCACGCCAGTATCAAAAGCAATTCGAGAGTTTCAACTATATCTGGAGGATGAGATGATGCCCCGAAAATCAATTTCTGGCAAATGGAATCATCCCACAGAGTGGTGGAAGCAGAATTCCAATACATATCCCGTTTTGGCTATAATATATCGCTCAAAGTGTAATATAGTAATTACTTCTGTGCCGTGTGAGCGAATATTTTCCAAAACGACTCTCAAGCTCCAAACTCGAACAATTAACATTTTTAAATGCCAATTTATAAATTGTATTAGTTTGTTTTAAAACTTTTTAAGTTTTGTATTAATTATTAGTTATACCTATTGTTTATTGTTCAGCCTATTTTAAAATAAAAAAATTCTTATTTTTTATCAGAAATAATGCCTCTTTTATGTAAAGTATTTTTTCAATAAATTTAAATAATACAAAATAGTATTTTATTTCCTGTTCCTATTTTAATTATTAGTCCCCAAAACTTATAGTGATGCCAAATTTTAATAAAATTTTAATATCCATACAAAAAATAATGATATTATTCTTGTGTTCACCAGGAACGGCAACAGCGTAGATTATATTGACATCAAGGCTGGATCTAATATCGGATATTTGTTATTTTGATACTACCTGCCGTTTACCGAACATTCGATGTCAAAGACGTACTCGTTGCCTTGACTTGACGGTTCAAAATGATGCCAAAAACGGATGCCGAATTTCAAATAACGATGCGTATCGATACAATAAAAAAAAATACGTGTGGCACTCGGGAACTGCCGCGGTAAAGCTATTGCATAGCATTTTTTATCAAATTATGCAATTATAATTATTTATTTATTCTAGTTTTTGTATTGCATAAACGTTCCAGTCCGCAGATATTTAATTCCGCTTGATACTAATACGAATAGGGTCGGATAAAACCTTCCACGGCTTTCAAAACGCCGCACCGCTATGCCGATTAGCTATGGGTTTGCCTTTATCTCCTATACTTGCAGACATCTTTATGCATAATTTTGAGAATAACAATATATTAAACAACAATCCTATTTGCTCAGCTATTAAATTCTATCATAGATATGTTGATGACATACTAATACTATGGACTGGTGATCTGGATAAGTTAAATAACTTCCTAAATTATATAAACACCATACATAGTAACATCAAATTTACATTAGAGATAGAAAACAATAAATCTATCAACTTCCTTGATTTAACTATATCCCATTGTACAGATCTTAAGTTGGAATTTAACATATTTAGAAAACCTACTCACACAGGGGTTGTTATTGATAATTTATCCAATCACCCAGTTACACATAAGTTAGCAGTTTTTAATTGTTACTTGGAACGTCTTCTGAAAGTACCACTATCAGTAGATAACTTTAATAAAGAACTCAATGTTATCAAACAAATTGCTAATAGTCACAATTATGATCAGAACTTAATAGATAAAATGCTTCATAGAAAACAGAATAAACGTAATCAGAACAATAGTTACATAATTGACCCCCTTCCCAATATTGAAGCAGATAATCGTAAGTATGTTTCACTTACTTTTATTGGAAAATTCTCATATCGTATAGCCAACTTGTTCAAAGATTCCTTCAGAATTAGCTTTAGAACGTCCAACTCGATCAGTAGCATGTTTGTTAGGAATAAGGATAAGATTGATCCTATAAATCAGTCTGGTGTTTACAAACTAACTTGTTTGAACTGTCCATGCTCATATGTGGGAAGGACCTTTCGTAATTTTAAAATACGCCTGAAAGAGCACATACGCTGTCTTAACACTAACACTACTGGTTTTTCTCACTTTGCTGCTCATTTGTTAGACACTGGTCACGATTTTGATTCTAGCATTGGCTTCGACATTTTGCATATGACTTCTAATAAATTCCTTCTGAATAACTTTCAGAACCTGGAAATTTTAAAAAATATTAAATCTGGCCCCTCCTGCTCTCTGAATGCACAAATTCAATTTATTAGTACCCCAACGTTCTCTGCGCTTATTTAAATTTTTCAGACTTTTACCCCCACTCATTTGATCTTCAGTCAGTTACTTACCACAATTAACTCTCCCAATTTAGATTTTCTTTCCATTAATTTTTGCCCATTCGCATCTTATTAAAATTAAAAATTTTTTTAGCTTATTCAAATTCTCCCACGTGGTTGTCATACGCCAAAATTTGACTTTTCTTTTTTGACATTCGTACTGTCAACCTAGTTTCCGTTTCCTGTAACAGTAATTTTCTTTTTGATTATCTGCTTCAAATTTCCCTTTTACATATGAATTTTCATATTTTCTTGTTTAGTGTTCTAATTTTCTTGTTAGTATAAAAAAATTTTTTTGCTTTCTCATTCTCAGTTTAATATATTTTACTTTCAATAAATTTTGTCACCGCCATCTATACTCACTTTCAGTAAATAACACCTCCGTTAGTACACTATTTATCCGCTAATTTAAAATTTACAGTTTATTCGTTAAAAAAATCTAGATAGATGTCTTGACAGTCTGATAATTTTTACTTTTTTACTTTTTACTTTCAGTAATTAACATTATATCCTTCAAAATTTTTAAACTGTTTGTGCTTGTAAAACTATTTTGTGTTGTTTAGTTAATAATTGTCTTAAATGTGTTTTAATTAATTATTTTATTCAAAAAGACATCTGGTGGTTTAACCTAACCTACATTAAAAATTTTTTTAAAAATACTTATTACACATGACTTTTTTAACTCGTTCTGTTAAACTTTTTGTAGCGCTTCCTTTATGGAATTAGTCAAGGTGAGTCGAGGTTATTGTTTAACTTTCTTTTGTGTTTTTTCTGTTATTTTGTATATGTTAAAGTCCGTTCATGCTTTTATAATTGTTTTTATTACAACTGACTCCTTGACATTCCATTTAGGTGTGCCTGATGATGAAGTGACAACTTCGAAACCGGTCGCCAATAAATTGACTTGTAAGAAATAAAGGACCTTTTCTTTAACCTTTACACTTAACGTACTTTTCTTGTTTTAATAAAATACTTTTAGCATAAAAGTAGAATGTCTCTGTACATGGGAAAGATACCATTATTGCAGGTGTATGCCAAAATTGGTTAAATTAACTATAGTTTACGTTCTTTTAGTTTCTTTATGGGCGATACTAAACTACAGTCTTCTAATTGTTTTCAGGTAGAAATAACTATGGAAGCTTACCTACTTACCCAAATTCGTTAATAAGCAAAATGTATCATAGATCAACTTTAAAGCCAACCATTTATTTTTCAAGATCCGACGAAAGTACAAGTCGAAATTTAGGCCCAGTTTCAAATTGTCCCTGGGACAATAAATTATTTGACAATTTGCCAAAAACTGATTCACAAACATTATCAGAGCCGGACAATATATTATCCTCAGAAGTTTCTTCTGAAGAGTATTCTAAACAATCGAAACAATTTATACCGACAGTTTTCAAACATACAGTTGAACCAATTCCAATTACGTTTAAACCAGAACGGACGTGGAGTACAATTAAACATTCTCCCATTTCTAATAAAGAAGTCCGGTATTATAATCCAACCACTCAGTCTATGCATGGAACAAAAAATTCAATACCAGAAGAATCGTTTAAAACTGAATCTTTACCCGATTGGTTGACAGCAAAATACTTTAAGGCCACAACTACTAGGAGGACCAATCCTTTGCCTAATAAAACTTTTCGTCCAAGAGATTCTACTAGATGGGCGAGAGTAAAGGCATCAAGATCTCGACCTCTATGGGTTTTGGTTTCCGACGAAGCACCATCTGGAGCTCATTCTAACAGAGTAAAACGAAGATACAAACGAAGGGATTTTACTAGGAAGCCATTGTTTCAGGAAAAGAAAACCCCGTCTTTAAAAAAAGTTATGTTGGTGTCTTTGCTCCTTTAATGTTCTATTTATAGGTATATTTTGTTATTTAATTTTATTGTAACTCTGAAATTATTATGGATTCCAATCAAAATGGCTACCAGTGGGTTTTAACAGGTTATGTTATGGCAAAATTATGGCAACCCTGTAGGCCTGGTCACTTGACAAGGTCAATGAAATAGACAGTTACATAGATCGATCATCCATATTTTTCAAAATAAACATAAGCTTATGGCTTAAAGTAAAAATGTACGTAATTAATTTTTTATTTTATTCAAAGGCTAGATATTGGTTTGTAAACACATTTGTGCAAAATAGATTATGATTAATGAGCACTTGCGAGGCAATATAGCCGCTCACAAACGACGCGCTTTGAGCAATCTATATAACTATTTATATATGCATCATTGACCCTGTCAATGACAACAGGTTCACAGGATTGCCATATCTAAATGTCAGTTCCCACTTGTCAGCAGTTTGACAGGTCGTTGGAATGCCTAATAGGTTTAATATTTTGTTTATATTTGTAAAGTATGGAATAATATAAAATACAAAATCACTAATAATTCTTAAATCTAAAATGTCATTAGATAGGTCCATTCTTATTTTAATGCCCTATTTTCATCTTATTACTCGTTTTCATGACGTCATCATTTTCGTCATCTTCTTAAATAGTAATCATGATACTATAAAAAGAAGGTACGCTGATTGATACTACGTCACAGTGACGTATTGTGGTGGGAAGGCGTGGCTTTTACGAATTTTAAGCATCAGATTATCAAAAAAGAGCGCGAAAATAAATTTTAATCTGCCCATGGCAAATCATATTCCATACCACAATACGTCATGCATGAACTCGACGAAATTTGGTCTGCTAAATATTATACCTTGTAATTTTTTGTATCATAAAAAGTAATCACTTTAAGCATATTGTTATACAAGCAGAGCTTATTAATTCTTTATTACTTTAATACATCAACTAACGACACTCTTCTTTTTTTCCAACATACGCCAATCAATGTGAAGTTTGTTAAAAAGACTGAAAATAATCAATGATTTATGTGAAATGTTAATTCGAAATTTGTTATATGTGATATTAATTTTGTAAACAAATAAAATTACAGTTAAATGTTTTGTTTACATTTTTAAATAATTTATCCAAATTGAAAAAAATTTTTGAAGAGGTTTTGAAGTGTCCTTATAAATTATGCAAATTTCAATCAACAAAATCCTCCCGATTTTATTTCGTGAAATTTAGATGTATATTTCCAAAAGAAACAACAAAATGTTTTTAAAAAATTCTTACCTCTTGTATTAATACCCTTAAAAGTATAATCCTTACTCCGAGTGACGCTGCTTCTAACCACTCGACTGGACTGAATTTAATAATTATAAATAAGGTCCGTATTTATAAACAGAACTTAGCAGACTTGGGTAAGTCGTCCTTCAACTAAAATCAAAGTTCGGTTACAACTTCTCTAAAATTCCAGGTGGTTCCGGTGATACACAGGAATCTAAAGGTGGATATTAGCAAATCTGTAACTGTTATGTACATTTACGGATTTGTTACTACCCATCTCCAAATTCACGCTATATAGCCGAACTTTGATTTTTGTTTAAGAACAACTTATCCAAGTCCGACTCAGGTGAGTTCTATTTATAAATACAGATCTAAGAGACAAAACTACATTGTATTTTAACCACTAAGCATGACATTTATTGTAGGTGATTCAACTTCGCTTAAATTCCATAAAAAAATAATAAAATATAGCATTGAAATAAGCATAGTTCTAAACAATCCAACAGAGGTCGTTACTATATAGTGTACCCTTTTGGCCTTTAAAGAGATACACAAACCATATACTGTTTCGTATTTCAATATCAAGATGTATCCAACTTCAAGATCTGACTATTGTAACATTTTAAAATTCCATTTAAAAATGTTATTTTAATTGTGTGACATCCTCTATAAAATAGTATTTGATTAATTATCGGCGATAGCAATATCCTTAGAGACGAAAATTTCTCTGGGTGGGGATCTGGCTGGCTCTTGATGATTCGAACCTTTCTATTAAAATTCATTTTCCATCTGATATCTCTAGAACCATTTTAGTGTTGAGACTGTAAAAACAGGGGTGAGTTATTAAGTGTCATTAAAAAAATATCTTGGTAGAAATTATATTTCTACTTATTGTTATTGTTAGGTTTATTTATTTTGAAAGTCAATTTAAATTTATTAAATATGCTTTAGGTATTCATTTTGTGAGATGGAATTACATATTGTTTATATTAATTAGTTCTGTTATCTTGATTTAATTTTAAAAAATAATTGTTTAAAAATTAATTTATAGATCAAACAAAGGCCTCGTGAAAAACAGAATTCATTTTTTGTTTTGGAAGTGAATGAAAGCAGTCTTTAAGTTTTCTTTCCTAACTATCTAAATTCACGGCTATCTCTACTCTACTCTTACATAACGGAGCTGTTTCAAATTAAACATAATTGGAGTATTTGGAGCTCAAGGAGCTACAGAGGCTATTGATGATAGCGACGTTCCAATATTAGATGGAGATGCTCTCTTCAGATACATAGTGGTAACTTAAATTCACGAGGCTAAGAAATGTTGAATATCGTACGATAATATTTAAAATTTAAGGGTGTTGGTACTAGCATAGTAAAATCTTTTGTTACCTTATCCTTGCATTTATTTAAATTTGTAAAATACTATTTGTTGCTTAATCATTTCATTAACTTAAACCAATTCATATATATGTTGAATCTAATTTTTTTAAAGATTACAACAATTCTCTTTTACTTAAATTATAGTTTTAATTAATTTTCTTTTGATAAAACTAGTGTTTATAATTCTCACCAGCTTTCTAAAAATAAAAAAAGAGAATTATTAGCACTCCTTTCTTCCTAAAAACTATTTTCCAAAAAGTGTCTATTTCTTTTTTTGATTTGATTAAAGGCAAGTAATGTTCGGTGTTAAATTTCTATGAGTTAGTAAAAATTTCTTATAAATATTTTTAAAATTAACATTTTATTGCAAAGTAACGAGGTGCTATTACAAATTGGCGCTCCAACGTGACTATTGCTATAGAGCATTCAATATAAAAACCTATACACGTCATCAATCAGTTGTGAAGTCATAGCTTTGTAGTGTTGTCCAATCTTCAAAATAGTCTAAGAATGTAGGAATTTTTAAAACTATGAGGTTATGTTTTTTTGGCTATGTTATTAGGAACAATTAATTTTAAATGTATAATGAATTTTATATAAAAGCCAATGAAGGTCATTGATAATGTTTAAATTAAAATGTTAGAAAAACACTGAATTTAATAGTAATAAATTTTGCACAAGAGGTTTAAAATGACAAAAAAGGTTAGGTTAAGGATGAAAAAACAGACAAATTTTATTTAGGCTTGATTTAATTTAAAATAAAAAATAATTATGTTCAGTTAGTTTATAAACATCCATATTTAAAAGAAGTAACAATAATTAGAACAGTTAGGTAATAAAATTAACAACACATGACATTTTAAAACTTAAATAATATTTAAGCTAAAATCAGTATCATCTCTATTTGGTAATATAATAATGGGAGCAATTACCAATCGGTCCAGTATATGCTCTCTTTCACACTATTTAAAAATTTCTTTTTCAGTGTGTCTTACACTGTTTGCCCACATTTGTGGGTTAATGGTTCGGAGTGCTTCAAACCACATGTCTATACAATCTCTTTGTGTCTTTCCATCCCGACCAATGTGCCTGTTATAATATTGTTTTGAAATGCCCCAAATCAGTTTGATTGGATTAAAAATACAATGGTAAGAAGGAAGACGTAACACCTTATGTCCATACTGTTCAGCCAGCGTATCAACTACATATATTTTTGGTGGTTTATTACTAAAAAAATAAAATCATTTAAAAAATACAGAAAAAGTAGATTTCCATTACTCACCTTCTAACAAGGTTCAGCCTTAAACATGATGAATAAGGTATGTTCTGATTCGTCAACCACTCTTGAATTTGAACCTTAGTCGAATTACTATTCGGTGTTTTGTGTGCCAATGTGCTATGGTATGAAGCATTGTCCACTACAATTAAAAATGGTTCATGCAGTCTTCGAAGCAATTGTTCTTCGAACCATTTTAAAAAAATTTCATTATTCATCTCACCGTGATAATCATAATCATTGCGTTTTGAAGCAAATATGGCCTCGGCACCATCAATAAATCCATTTTCGTTTCCAGCATGAAGAATTATATATCTCTAAGGAAGATTAATATACAGTTAACATGTATATATTCATTAGTTTTTTTTTATTAACCTTTTACCATCAACTTTTGTACTTTTTACACTTTTTTTATTGCTGTCTTGCCAAGAACGGTTTATGGTGCCAAATCTCATCAATAAAAACAAAACGGTACAAATTTGCTTCCTTTTCTTTGGTATATTTTCTTAAAAATTCTGCCCGTTTCACGGCAATATCTGGAAGTTTCATAAGACCTCGCCTTGGTTCATTTTTCTGCCATTTGAAACCTATTTCTAATAATAAGGTATGCAATGATGTGCGACATCCATTGAATAACTCCTTTTCATTAAGTTTCACCTACAAAGAATCTAAACTTACATGCTCCTCTGAAATCGTACATTAATTTGTAATTGTTTAATAATATATAAATAACATCTCGAATAGCACTGGTATTCAGAATTCTTGTGTTGGTAACTTTCTTTTGCCTAGGGCTCTTTTTTAGTGGTGACTTTACAACTTTACTGTTCTTTACAGCTTGCGAAACATAACTAACAGTAGAAAAATTAAGATTAAGTGCTTCTGCGACACGCTGAAACAAAATAATTATATTAATTTGACGGTGATACATTATTAATCAACTAACTTCTCTTACAGCTGTTAAAGGTAACAAAGGCCCATTATTATCACGTTCTTCCTCAAAATAATTTATTAGAGAAGCCACTAGTTCCTTGCAGCGACTATTTAATTGTTTTGGCATTTTTCAATGAAAAAATACACAATAAACAGTTTGTTAATAATTTAATCTAAAATATAAATAATTTTTTGAAAAGAAATCGATCGATGCAAAATAATACAAAACAAATAACATTAACAACAATGTATTAAAATTGAAAGTTGTCACATTTGATGCCAACTTTTTTTATGAAATTTACTAGAAAATATTCCGTTAATAATCTGCCTACAGTATATTTACTACTGTGATATGATAAAAAATACATTTTTAATATGCAATTTTATAAAAATGAACTCCATGCGTCTAAAACTCATTTATTTGCAAAATAAAATTTAATTATTTTTATTAGTATGTGTGGTACCAATGATTGTCACTAACGTCATTTCTGACGTGCATCGGTTTTTATATTGAATGCTCTCTATTACACTATTAGCTGATTGGTCAATCGTTTGACAGGTATATAATACTATTAATGGTGCATTTTTTATAATAATTATTTCTCAAGGCTTTTAAATTTTTCCAGGACATTTTATTTTTATGTTTTCCTGATGTAGGAGTTATCCTAATTTTGATGGTATTTGTCCTGAATAAAATTAATAACATAGACCAGGGCTGAAGCCTTTGAAAATGGTAAAATATGAAAAAAAAAAATAACAGTAGGATAAAACCCATTGGAAAAGGAAGAAGATATAACAAAAATAAAAGAAAAAATAATTTAAGGGCGATCTGAGGTCGAGAAGTGGAAGGGGGTGAGTTTCTAAGAGTAAAAAAACGGTTTATCTTAATTTCTTATGGAAAAAAGTTAAATAAAAAAAGTTGTACGTAATAAAAATATCTACAACTTTTGTATGTACAATTTTTTTACATAACCTCAAAATTTATGTGAAAAATTCAAATTAACAAGATTCTGGTTTTTTATTTTTATTTCTTACAAAAAAATTATTTTTTTTTAAGAAAATTTACCTTTTTATGTCCCAAACACACTGTAATTTTTTTAATTTAAAATAATTATTTTTTCATCTTATTTTGAGTTAATATCGAAAAAGCATCCTAATTTTCAATCAAAAATTCTCCTCCCAAAATATCTGCTAAAAAAGTCGGTAGGC